TGGGGGTATTGGGGGCGGGTATGGGGGTGTTGGTGGGGTTATTGGGGGTTCTGGACCCAAAACAAATATAAAAAAATTTGGTGTGCCAACGACCCCTGATCGGTAGGTGCCGACCAGTCAAGGGGTGCCGACCGTCGGGGTATGCAACACTGGGCCAGATGCAAAAATTGAATAAAGTTTGAGACTTGATTTTCTGCCAAATTTCTGGTCAGTTTGCGGACTGATTTGCATTTCCTGTATTGGGGGTTCTGGACCCCAAAAAAAATTTAAAAAAAATCGGGGTGCCAACGACCCCCGACCGGTAGGTGCCGACCAGTCAAGGGGTGCCGACCGTCGGGGTAGGCAACACTGGGCCAGACGCAAAAATTGAATAAAGTTTAAGACTTGCGAACTGATTTGATTTTCTGGTCAGTTTGTGAACTGATTTGCATTTCCTGTCTTTTTTATTTACTGATTTGAATTTCTTCAATTTTCTTGTCCATTCCCAACTTTTTTTGATGGCCAGACATATGGGTTTCCGCGTTTGTATAGACGGACTGCTGAGGTGAACCGGTTCATCAATCGGCACAACCCGAGACGACGCGAAAATGTCCGAAGCTTCATTCAGGGGGTGTTTCGCCTACCTCGCCGTGCCTGCGAGAAGTTCAGCCAGATTCGATCCACGAGAATTCCATTTGGTGTCCCAAAATCTCTCAGTTTCAGCACTAAGGCGCGGCTGCCAACCTCGGGTCCATTTGTCCAATTGTCAGCGTTAGCTGAACAGCGTCCAGATTTGAGATGCAGAAGCACGTTGATTTCGCAGAACGTCACTAGTCGAGTATTTGCTGCTGCTGGTCGGAGGGAGGCTGTCCCTTCCAGCAGGGACCAAGCAACCGTGCAACATCTGAGGGGCTGTAGTCTCTTCTCCTCTACAGGTGCCAGCGTGGCACGATGGCCTACCTCGGCACTTTCAGATGGTACACGCGATGTTCCTCATGTATCCGGTGGGACCGGTGGGACTTGCAGATCTACGGCGGTTCCGTATTTCGCAGCGGGAAATAGAGGAAACCTGCCAACCAAGGTGCAGACGCATGCGCCTATCCCTGTATCGTCTACTCACGCTCGGCATTTGTTGAGTTATGCGCTGTTCGGAAGAGCGCCGGCGGTTCTGGTGCCTCGTCTGCATGCGCTGCAGAATAAACTCTTTCCCGAAAAACAGACAAGCGACGATGAAGTTACGGCAACTTACCAGAGGAGGGCAGAACAGCGCCGAAATAAGAATATGCTCGCAGGAACGGCTGCGGGGACCGCTTATCAATGGACAAGGGGTGCGAGGAGGCTTGGATTACAACAGCTGCTTGAGCTTTCGAGGAGTCACTGTGGGGCTTTGTCAACCGCAAGTGGAACGATGACATGAGGCGGACTTTGTTGTTTTCCTCCGTGTTTTGGAAGAGAGGGGGGCAAGGGAGGGGAGAGGGGGGGGCGGACTTTGTTGTTTTCCTCCGTGTTTTGGAAGAGAGGGGGGCAAGGGAGGAGTCACTGCCGAGATGAAGTGACAGATGGTTAACAGAGCCCTAAAATTTCAGCATTGTTTCACGGCCGTTATAAACCAAACCCCAACACCTTCTGATTCTGAACCAAAAGAACTTTTGCGGATTGGGATGTGATCGCATGCCGAGGCGGACTGATGTGTCAAGAACCGGTTGGCTTTTCCGCCAGCCTGCCAAGGGCTTGGATTGGTTACCCCTCCCTTCACCTCGGGACCAGAACGATCCATGAGCTCCAAGCGATGTCCAGCCGCTTCTGTCCTACTGAAGGGTCTGACTGGTGAGGTTGATGGCTGTGTCGAATGGGTCGACCGTTTGCCTACCGGTTCCCGAGTGACTGAGAGCTTGGTTGACGAGATCCAACCATGACCGGTGGATCAGGATCGCCTACTGCAGTGAGACCGCACGCAGGCGAAACACAAAAAGAAAGTAACCCGGGTGAGTTACGAGTGTAGACCGTTTGCTGATCGGTCCACCCGAGCAATTGACAGCTTGGTTGACGAGATCCAACAATGACCAGTCGATCAGGATCGTCAACTGCAGTGAAATGGTACGCAGGCAAAACACAGAAAGAAAGTAACTGCGGTAACTTACGAGTGTTGTCCAGGTACTTGTGTCCTACCCAGTCCAGGTGTACAAGTCTCGGCGTGTTTCCCCCCCCCCCCCTTCTGACCACTGAAGAATGGATGCTTTTGAGCGTTTGCTGGCCAGTCGGAGGATCAGTTCGTAAAGGCCGTTAGATTTTGATTGATAGATCGATTGCCTGTTGCTTTGCTTGCTTTGTTTAGCTGAGAAAGTTACTGGTGGTTTGAAATTGGAGCCGTGCTTTTTTGTTTTTTTTGGGGGGGGGTGGGGGGCGCTGTTTGAGGTATATCCACCTCCGGTAACCTGATATGGCCGGCTGCATTTCAACGACGCACTCTCACACACTTGTAAAAACGTTTTTTGAACTTCTTTTCACAATGGGCGACCTGTGGGACCGTGCAAAAGGAGAATGGTGGGCTGCGACCGACCTCGAACATAAACTAAGACAGAGAAAACCCTAGAGGAAAAATTGAATAAGTAAAAGAGGCCATCCCTATCGCTTGGCAGTCGGCACTGAAAAAGGAGCCACTATCCAAATAGGCAACTGGGTAGTTAATTAGACATTTTGATCTTCCTCTCGCACTCGTGGTTCAAACCAAAAGAAAAAGAGGGATAGGTAAACTCGAAGCGTTTGACTCTCAACTACCTGGAGCCCAATAATTCTTTGACCCAAAGTGGAATGAAGGCTTGGATTGCACGACAGGATGGTGGGGACCGATGAGGGTCAGAGTGGTGGGGGACCACGATCAACGTCTGTAAGTTTATGAACCCGCCATCCCAATAGCCAGGTCACTATTTGACCCTTTAGAGTGGGAGCGGCAAGGGGAGCACCCAATGCACATACATATGGGACCACACTCTGAAAAAAAGGGGATACAGGGCCTGCTGCCCAGACCAGGACAGTTATAGACAGACAGATGGAATAGGGACTCGCTACTGAAGAGTCGCGAAGACAGATGAAATTCACAACTCATCCTGGTCCTCTTACGCTCAAACAAATTATGCCCACAAACCTCAGGTCCCTGGCAAAAAAAGAAAGAAAGAAAGAAAAAAAAAAGGTCCCTGCTGTGGCAGATTCTGCACCGGTGTCCTCCCACCCCAGATCCAGTTTGGTTGGTTAAACCACCAGTACCTCTCCCTGCTTGAGGGAATCGACGCGGCCGTTAACGCGCCGCATCGCGCGGGGTACCCACCGGCGATCCTACAACAAACAGGCGCGGCGGGCGGGGAACGGGGGGAAGAACGAGAGAGAGAGAGAGAGAGAGAGAGAGAGAGAGAGAGAGAGAGAGAGAGAGAGAGAGAGAGAGAGAGAGAGAGAGAGA